ACCAATAACACCTGCAATCTCAGCAAATGTATCAGCATATAAATTTTTACTTATTTAGAGACATGCTTTAATATTTGCTTCTCATCAACATTTCGGACGCTTTTCCCAGTGACATTAGTACATAAACTTCAATTCAGAAAGAGACAAAAAAAAAATTTTCAGTATTTTTACTAATTTAAGGGCTCCCACAATTCTTTTTAAATACACACAGCATTGACTTTGAAAAGGAATTGGAATATGACAAAGATAAATGACAGCTGTCATCCTGGTCCTGCAATGTGCCCCTTTCGGGCACACATCCCTGCGTGGAGGCAAGCCTCTTGAATTCTTGAGTTCCACACCAGGGGAGACGGGTGCCTCTGCCCCGCACACTGCAGACCACAGCACAGGTTATGACTGACAACCTCTAGAGCTCCTCAAGAGCACGTGAGAAAAAAGCTCGCTGTTTTTTCTTATTTTCTTTAACATAGGCCAAAGGAGCTCAGCATTCTAAGAGTACACATAAATATCAAGGGAGAATTTATTTTTTTATTTTTTTTTTTCAAAGAATTATCTACTTCACAACATCCACTGCAGCAGGACAGCAGCTAGTAATTTTGCATACTTCATGTCGCTCTTTTTTTCCCCTTGGTTAACACATTTAAGAACAAGGACTGAAGGCCTTTTCTACAGCATAGAAAATGGCAGCCTGGTTAACAGAGACTAGGAAAGGATCTAGGAAACACACTTCATAAAATAACTCACCCTGAAAGCCCAGATTGCTCTGGTCCAACTGCAGCTTTAGAAGGTATACGCATGGTGACTGCAAAGAGGGTTTTTTTTCTACCATACACAGCATTAGTCCAGAGTACAGTTTTGATACTTACACTTAATAAAGACTATGGAACTACTGAAGAAATTTTACAGAAGAGCCACAGAGTTATTAAACGGATGAGGAAAACACCTCCTGGCAAGAGGTTTGAGAGTACCTGTGATCAAAAGGAAGAGTGAAAGGTGTTTGGAGACAGCAGTGGCAGATAGATGCATGGGGAGAAACACCAGCGAACAACAACAACAAAAAAAGCATCTCAGTCAATAAGGAGCAGAAGCCAGAGAAATTCACATTAGAAATTAGCCACAATAATTTGACAGTAAAGCTAACAGACAACTGGAACCAAGTGCCCAAGGAAGTGGGAAGTGGCAGAAGCAGTGTAACTTCAAACCTTCAAATGCAGCCTAGATGCTTTCATGGAAGACTTCTGAGAAATACACTTTTTTTCCAATCAAGAGCAAGAAAATCCTATGCCGGGCTAGCCCCTGAAGCAACAGCCAGTATAAAGCCAAAAACCACCTAAATGTTTACCTCTGCATATAGGAACATTTCCAAGTAGTGTTATTAGAAGAAAGCTGGGTATGGAGAGGTCCGTTTAGGATGAAACGAGCAGGACGATGACCACAGAACCATAACGAAAAGCCTCACCCAGGAATCACAAGCAAAAGAGAATTCAATAAACAGCACCACCTTCCCCAAAAGAAACGGTCCCAAAACGGACTGAATGCCACCTTCCCGAGGCACTGGGTCGTCTCCTAGAGCTAGCCCTAGCTGCGCTGGAGGGACTGGGAACAGAAGCTGCAAACCAGTGGGAATGAAAGCTTTTCCTGTGAGAAGCACTATGTAGAAATTCACTCACATCAGTGAAGAACAACAAACTTAGTTTTTTATCTTCTGTTTGAAGCTGCAATTAATGAGATTTATGTCTGTAAAAATTCACAGAAGATTTGCTTTAATGCGTCCTTTTAAGATTTGCTTTTTTGTCTGTCTCTTTGTGGATTGAGCAAAAAATAGCATTGAACTAAAAGATGAAGATGTAGGAGAGTAAATGAGGACTCGTTTACTCAGTTGAACTAGCAGGCACTCTTAAAACACTGTTTAAAACCAAGGGGAAAATGTTCCTGGCAAGCATGCAGGTCAGGATAAGATTTTCAAGTTTTCAGAACTCTGTTCAGCCTGGCATGTGCTCAAATTCACCACTGAAGGCTTAGCTCACTTCCACTAGAGATATTTTTATGGAAAGAAGACATAGTCACTTTTTTTTCAGTTGGAAACAATCATAAGTAAATGCTGCAATGCTTTTCTGAATAATCAGAGAGCTTCAAGAGCTGACAGGTTTATAAGCAGGTGCAGGGTGCAAAGGGGGGAAATCCAAGTGATTTGTCATTGCTGCTATTCACATCAGTGATGTTAAACGAAAACCAAGTTTATTTTTCTTACTACTGTTTGCGAAGCTGAGAAGCATCAACAAGCGAAAGCAAAGCAGACTCCCCTTTTGCACGACTCTGCTTACATTTTCTCTGCTTCTCTGCACACTTTGGCGATATGCTCTAAAGGGCTTAACGCAATCCCTACAGGTCTGGAAAGCACTCAAGCACAGAAACGCAAGGTGAGTGCCAGAGACTCCTTTTGTCCCAACAGTGACCTTTGAGCTTACCAAAAGAGTAGCAAAGATAATATGCCTCCTATCTCCCACCTGTCTGCCAGCTTGATGCATGCAGGAGGAAGGAGAATAAAGCGTTCCTTACCCCTTCCTGCAAACAAAAGCTTCGTTTCAAAAGTATAAAATGCCAAACAAGCGAAACGAGTTTGGTCACTGGACTACTGCCCAGGATGGCTGCCCCTGCAAAAAATAATGATTTCCAGTAACGGCTCTGCTACAATGGCATGTAGAAAGCTCCATCCCTTTCCCTGCGAAAGAGAAAGGTTTTCACCAAAGTAGGATTCTTCAGGCTGATCTTTGAGCCTTTCACGATCTGAAGCCGCCCTAAACCCGCAGTCAGGAGTCGGTTGTCTCCTACCCACCCCTGCGCATCCATCCCGCTACCCACTGCAGTGACTGCTCATGGTGAGCTGCTGTCTTGAACTCTTCAGCTGTCAGCCAGAAAACACCACATTGATACTTTGACCCTCATTCTTTCAGTTTCTGGGGGACTGTGTGGCTTTTATGTTGAGCTGGCAGAAAAGCTGGGGCAAATGGGAAGAACCATATTCCATAGACAATTTGAGTTCAGCTATCCACTAGAGATGGTCTATAAAGGAATAGCTTCAAAAAACTCAAGCAAAACTAAAATGCTTTCACAATACTGTAATATTTATAATGTGTACTTAAATCACATTCTTGAAATTTCTCCAAAATCAATACCTGACACTCCAGTTCCTAATGAAATTCAGTTTTAAAAAAATCACCCTAGAATTAAGGAACAGAGAAAATATTCAACACTATTTCATTATTAGGTGTCACAACATCAATAAATTTTGAAACTAAAGACTGTAACTCTCAAAAATGTTTAATTTATCAGAAAACATTAGGAAATGCTAAACCAAAAGTAAGCAATGTTGATGCCCTTCAATAATATCTCATTTAAAAGACTCATCAGCCTTTTCACTACTCTACGGCTACTAGTTAAACCAAGTGTCCTCTCCATAAAATGAAAAATACATTTTTCAAGTTTGCAAGGAATGGCCAAAAAGGAAGCTGCAAATATTTTTATACATCTTTTATAATTTTTGTATGTTTTCACAAATTTGTATTGGAAGAAAAACATAGAGCGATTTCATCTCATGGATACGCTACAGAAGAAGCGTGTTACCTATGTGGCAAGGATGCACCATAGGTATACAAAATGGGATCTTGGGAGGAGCAGGCAGTAACAATGTTCACCTTTTTCTCGTGCATCTAATGTCGCCTACCATCTCTGGAAAATCAGTTTAATCAAGAAACATCCCTTTGACCCTCAGGCGTGACTACTTGTTTGATTTTGCATTTTAGCAGAGAGGAGATCATTTACCAAAGATGTGAAATCCTATTCTAATGAGTTTTATTCTTTAAAGATAACACATTAGAAATGGAACTCTCATGGAATCAGAATAGAGAACACGGAAGACCAGAATGTTGTTTAACAATTCTTGTTTTCACATAATGAAGTCATGCCCATAGTTCAGTTACATATTAAGTGATTTTCCAATTACTCAAATTATTTTATTTTCTAAAAAAGCCAAAACAAAACCACCCCCTGCCCCCAATTTTATTGCATCTTACTACACCGTTTACCCACGCCTGAAGCCATACATTCAAAGGACATGCACTGACATTATCACATAAAGAAAATGATGGGAAGCTGGGCAAGCTCTTGCAAACATCTGCAGAAAATTCACACTTCTACAGAATCTTTTTATCTAAATGCAAGGAGTCCAACCTAGTGGCATAGATGGCATGGTTTCTGAATATAATTTCCAAATTAAATTTACAGCCTGGGCAATAGCCATCTGCAGTCAGTTTTAACCTCCGTGTCCTGGCTAAATGCTAACTGGCATCACTTGTTCGCATCCTTCTAAAAATTCCTCAGAAGTTTCATCCAAATTGAATTTTCTTCACATTCCGTGCTACAAACGTCTCTAAGGGCTTCCTGCATACTTTTAAGTAGCTGCCAGCAGGGACTGCGCTCCCATGATACAGACCATAATCTGTTTGCATGGTTTATAAATACTTCCATATCCTGCGGAATGGGGACTATTTTGTCAGAACAAAATTAAATTGGAAGAGTCATTGCAGGTACAAAACGAATGAATTCAGTGGAGTTTTCAGTCTTGTATTAGCAGCTGACTATACAGAGACTAAATATTCACAACAGTGTGCTGCCACTTTTAAAACACAAGTCCATAGTTTAAAGACCCAGGCTACCATCTCATGCATGTTGGCTGGAAATGTTATAAACCAAGATCATCTCAGAGGCAAAGGCATGCAATAGCATCCTGGCTTTTCACAAACGTACTGTATATAACTATTCTGTAGTAAAGACAGCACAGGAAAAAAAAATCCAACTCCTGAATATGACTTCCAGTGCCAGCAAGGAGGAAAAAAATAGTACATTGTATTGTTTATATGTAAAAAAGGTGGGAAAATGTTCTATGTATTACAATTAATAGAAATCAATGAAAAAGATTTTTAACTGAAAAAATGCCTTACCTTGAGAAGTTGAGGAAATGAACATGTCTAGTGAATAAATAGGGCTGCTCAGCAGTGCTTATGTTTTTAATCAATTCCATCTAAAAAGAATTAACAAACCAGATTTTCCATGTTACATCAATGCACATTTTGAGACAAATATCGTTCTCAAACAATGTACGACAATGTCATTTTCAAGTCTGAATTACTCAGGAACCCTTCCCCACTATCCCTCCCAAACACGGTCATCAAGACAACATGACTACTATTTCATGTCTAAGCCAGGTTAAACTGCAGGCACCATCCTGCTGTCACAGAGCTTACATACTTCCAAAACTGGGTATCAGTTTAAGGAAAGGCATAAACTAAAGAAAAAATCTAAACCCTGCCTAAATCTGCACTAGAGCTTTGCAAGTGGCAGCTGCCCTCTGAAGACACTGGCTCTATTCCCCAGAATGCCAAAATGTAAAATGTCTGAAACTAACAGAAATGACCATTTTTATATAACAATAAAAACTGCCAATGTTGCCAAAATACTGAATGATTTGCCTGTTTAAATATAGAAAACGGCACTTGCCATTCCTTTTACTATTATAGCAAATTAAGAGTACAAATCAAATGGGCACTTTCAGAAGAATGGTGCTAAGTTCTAGTTCAGGCACATTCATACCATTTCAAGTTTTTTTAAAAAATAAATTACTTAAGTTTTCAGATCATTAAAATGGAATAATGTAAACAGCATATACCGAAGAGTGCACACCATGGATACAAATATCTGTGTTGTGTAAGCTGAGCTCTAGCTATGATCTAGAGGAAACTGGAAGCGTCTAGTGGAGCATCATGCTGGAGTCTCGAAATATCCTGGTTAATTTTGCTTCCTTACTATTAATTTCCTAAGATTTATTTTCAGATTTTCTGTTCTGCACTCTAATGCAGGCCATATTACGGACACTGAATACAAATGCATCTGAAATGACAAGTTTGTACAAAGTGGGTACTAGAAAGTAATACAGAAAGTAACAGAAATTCACAAACTGGAGGGGGGGGAGAGGAGAAGAAGTAAGAGAAAGTGAACCAGAAGGTTTGAGTCATATCAATTCATATACTAAATTTAAGCACCACAAAGGGGACATTAATTAAAAAAAATTATATTTCTTAAAGCTTGAATGCTACAGCTGACATAGACAAAGTAAGGAAAAATGAGGGGTCCAGCCTGTTACGTGGCCAAGATAAACTGACTCCATGTGATGAGTTACTGCACTAAAAGCCTTAGGAGCATGGCAGAAAACAAAAAAGAGAAACCAGAAAGAAAACATGTGAAATTAAAAAAAAAAAAAAAAAAAACAAAAAAAAAAAAAAAGTAATTAAAAAAAAAAAAAAAAAAAAGGGCAGGAAGGGAATAGCTCCCCTGCTTTAGTCAGTCATATCTGGACTCTGGACAAAGTACAAACAGGTCTTTATACAGCTCCTTCAGTACAATATAAATGTTATGAGCAAGAAAGTCATAAACCTGAAGAGCAGAGGTTGCCCAAACCAGAATTAGAATGCCCAGGCAACTTTGCAGTAATTGGCACGAAGTAACTGAGTTTGTTAATGCTCTGAAGAGACTAAGCCTTTCCTAACAAACCAAATAAACTGGCACTTCTTTAGGACTGGCAGCTTGCTCTGCCAAACTTGCAGAAGGAAATAAGGGAAGACTCTAGAGGCTGGGTATCAGATGTCTCAGTTGGCTTCTTTCTTGGTTTTTACCCAGACAAGCTACAGCAGAAGTGGACTTCTCAGAACTGTATGAAGTTTTATGTTATATTGGAATTTCATCTGTGCTACTCTATCCGCATGAAGGAACGAAGGAACGAAGGAAGATGGCAAAAGGAAGTCACTGATATGGGATAAAATCTCTATTCATGCCACTATGGTCACCACTGTAATTCCATCTTGGAATAAAGAAAAAAACATCATTAAAATACAAATATGGAGATGTAAAGATACTATCAATATACACAGTAATCCCACTGAGTTTAAAAAGACAGGCAGCTTTCATATAATACCCTTAGATAAACGTGTGCGTGTGGGTATACATGAGTGCTGCAAAGTACCATGCAAGCCTCCCTTGACCCTCAGTTCGCCCTGAGGCCCGCACCAATCTGGCAGCGCTCGGCAGAGTCCCGTCACGCCGCCATCACATTTCCCACTGCACTTCGCCTGCTGCCAGTGCCAGGCAGGCTGCACCGCGCAGGCACTCCGGCCTCAGGAGCAAGGGAGACTGGAAAGCTGCACACAGAGCACGACAGCATCTGGCTCCTGCCTTTTTTTTAATCTCTTGCTACCAAACTCAATCTCTTGAGCTATGACAACAGCTTACTCCAAAGCAGACACAGAATTTTGTTTTGACTTAAAGTACCTTCATATCTAGACACTCGATGAACAACTGGACTTGTAAGCAGATGTGGATAAAACTACAATGTGCATAGGAACAAACAAGCAGAAACATTCTTTTAAAAACCCTGCCAAAAGGGTAAGTAAGGCTCAACAGAAACAATACACAGATGTCAGGAGGGAAAAACAAATAACCGTAATGGCTCACAGCCACGTGCACGTTGTGGCCATATTTCCCAAGGGCCTCTCTCTCTCTGATCCCCCTGTGCTGAACTGATTTCTGTCTAACAAGCCAAACGTATTGCTCACGAATACTTAGTGATCAGCCTTCCTTTTAAGATTCTGTTAAGTAATAACAACAACATCAGCAATAATAATAATATCCTCTTCGAACATCTCTTAGAAGAATAAGGTGTCTAGTGGGGTTTGTTGGGTATTTTTTATAAAATGATTAATGTAGAGGACCCAGAGAGAGGAAGAGTGAGCAGAGGACGAGAGCTGAGGAAAGCAAGTACCTTTGAATGGAATGGGTGATGCAGGAGAGAGATATATACATACAAGCACAGATCATCTAGGAGATGGTCTTAAACCAACCTAAGTTTGAAAAGAGATGAAAAGGCACAAGCAGCAGAAGCTAAACTACCCTGGCAAACACCATCGGTGGAGAGATCAACCAGAACACATCCACGTTCGGTGGGAGAAGCTATAGAAGTATCTGGAGGAAGACTGAAAGGAGCATGTGCCCACTACAATAAGGGCCTGTAAAGAGCTATTCCTCTTTCTTGCTGCTCCCCCAAGCTCTCCTGCGGGAGTTAACTTTTAGCTGTATCACTGAGACAGTGCTGAAAAAGACAGTAATTTGCTTTCGAAATTAACTAAATTGCACCAGAGAGTTAATGCTACTAAACGAGGATCCAGGGAGAGGGAAATGCCAGGACACGAGAGCACGTGGGGGAAGGCAGGTGGTGGCACCCTGCACCCACATGCTCGCATCCACCAGCGGAGCCCACCACATCGCCCTGCCATTGACAGAAATATCTGGGATTTAAAGATAAACTACATGGCTGTAAAAAACCCAAACCAATTCCACCTCCCTCCCAACACCACTGAATTGTAAGTATCTGTCTTTAGCCTAAACGCTGATTTACTAGCATAACATCTTCCTACCACTATGACTCCTTGATTAAGCTTGTATTCTACATTTTTCTCCAAAACTCGTTTTCTGCGCTGACTTTTAAACAGGACCTTTAAACAAGGCCAGATCCGCAAACAGAAGCAATCCTGTAAATCACAAGCTATTTTTAAATCTTAAAGCCCACCTGAGCAAGAACACCAAGAAGCAACACTGCTAGGCAAAAGGTTTTTCCTAAGTCTACTGTCCTACACCACTGCTGCAGGAGCTCGGTTGGCCATACTGCAGAAACCGAACCTCAGCGGCTCAGCGTCCTCCGCGTACGCTCAGTCTGTCGCCGCTGCACTGTAAATATCAACCCAGCAGATGGCACGGTGAAGTGATACGGGTGGGGCCCTCCCCGAAAGCAGGGGACGTGGAGGATGGCTTTGCTCCAGCCACAGCCTTGCTCCTGCACAGAAACTCAACCGGGGCTTGTGAGGGAGGGCACCTTAATTCTCTCTTCTGGAAACGGCCGGAGCAGTGCCGTTTGGTTCGACATTTCTAACAGGTAAATTCTACTGGGAACAAAAAGAAATAATCAGATAATAATCACACCCAGATAACAGTCAAAAATGTTACCACTTCTTTTAAAGCTGCTGTATTTCACTGGAAGAATTTGAGGTCAAAACGTACAAAAATGGTGAGGCAACTGGGATTTTCCAAGTGAGGTCAGCTAGATGACACTTTGGTCTCCACTAGCGTTGATACAAACAGGACCAAAAACATCTCTGTCCTTCTTCTGAGTGCTGTACCTTCTTCTACTCCTTTCAATCTCTACTGAAGGCATGCAGGGTCCAGGAGGCACAAGTATCCACAGGTATATGGTATATTACTTTCATCTCAGTATTCATTTCCATAAAAAACTCACAACTCAGAGGAATAAGACTAGAGCTCCATTTTCAGCTCTCAAAAATTTGGAATGGTTTCAAGAATTTCTTCAGCTCCCCAAGCTGCTATGACCAATTTTCTGTCTTTAGCAGCATTTAAGAAAAATTAGTGATGGATTTTTAGTGTGTTAAACTGGAATTATATAAAAAGCTGGTTGCACAGCCATAAGCATGGGTGGTAGAAGGAAAAGCCATATCAATTAGATTGACTTTGTATACATGAATACTACATATTATTTTCTGTATTTAATTTACTTGGAAATATTACAGCAAATGGTAAGGCACAGATTAACTGATCTGTTTCCAGAACTCATTCCTTTATGCCCATGGATGTTCAAAGGCTGCACTTCTAACTGCTGGCAGGCACACACAATTCGGGAAAATATGTCTGTAGGAAGGAGCCTGGAAAAGGCAACGAGAATATGGATTCCAGTTATGTGCAATCTCTTCAGTCATTACGAACACCTACATGCTTAACTTTATTTAACAACAGAAGACTGCACAAGCTAAATATTTACAGAAAAATCTTGGCTGGATTAGGGCTTCAACCTAACACAGGACAGACAAATGACAGAATGGAGAGAGATGTATCATCTCGAGCAAGAAGCCCATGCTCATGCTGGGAGCCTACAGAGCAGCCCAGCTCTCTTTTCTCTTGTTCCAACGCCTGGAGCCTGAGACCATCCATTCTCTTAAATTCCTCTTGCATACACCACATTAAAGGTGGGAGAAATAATTTATTTTTTTCATATTCTGCTCATAAAAAATGAGGAGACAACTAAAAATACTCTGAACAACAGAACAGTTACTGTCTTCAGGCGCGTTTCCTGGCAATCAACGGCACTTTTCAGCAAAAGTACTCATTAAGTTATGAACCTCTTGTAACTATGTAAATGAGCCATAAAATAAAATAAAGACAGTCAAGTTATAGTAGGGCAATCTACAGAGCAAATCATCAGCTCTGCAGCAATACGTCCAACACCATCTGTGTTCTGGCACATTTGCTCTCTAGTAACCTAACAGCTTCTGGAGTGCAAAGAGTAATGAAGACATTTATCCCCTGTCAGTGTATCGGTTGCATCAAACATAAGCCTGGCCCTCTCTGGAATCTCCACATGCCGGACTAAAGCACAGGAGACTGTTGAGATGCAATCTTGTATCACGTTTTTATAATAAAGGACAATCCATCTACCAGAGAAAGGCATAACAGAACTGAAACGAAGTAGCTGATGAGGGTGAAAACTGGTGATCATTAATACCTGAAAGGTTTTCAACCTTTATGATGCATCTCCCAATCAGCAACGAAACTCAATGAAGGACATAGTCAAAACAAAACCTAAAGAGCCCCAAACACAAAAGCAGTCATATCCATAGAAATCCCCTACCCTATATTCAAGTTAAGCAGAAAAACTAACCAGGCAGACTTTGTAGCACAGGACAGTTTGACCCCAACCTGATGGGACCACAGGCTCCACAGTGCTGCTGGTGGGTGGGATGCACAGAGGGTGGGATGCTGCAGGAGCTGCAGCCCAGGTCTCTGCCCCTTCCCTCGGCCGCAGGCAGGGACAGTGGGGGGACAGTGACCGCCAACCCCAGCCTCCCCGCGCACGGCCCTCCAGCCCTGGGTGGGGTCGGGCGAGCCAGCTGCTGGCGGGACCCCGACGGCCACCTTGGGAGGGAGGAAGGTCGGACCTGCAGGAGCAGTATCTGCTCCCAAATTTCCATTTGGAATGACCCACTGTATCCAAAATAACAAAACTTCTGCTCATAAACAGGCTACAAATAAAACACCCCCAATCACAGTACGATGCCACTGGCAGGCCCACGTCTGTATTTTGATCATCGCACACATCCTTTTGTGGTTTGCTGGCTGCTATTGCTAGGAGTGACGCAGGCCGTTATTGCGGCATTTACCTAATCAGTAGATCAAAATAGCAGCTGCAGGCAGTGTGTGCGACAGTCGTGCGCACGGCATCTGACGACATCCACGCACTCTGGAGTCTGAGGTTTCTTGTATTACCTGCATCAATACCTAACTGATGGAAGCAATACTCACAGAGGGCACACAGTTACCCTAAATACAAGAGAATTAAACAACTGGATCTTGTGCGGAATCAATGCTGCAAAAATAATGCCCTCTACAGCTTTGAGGGAACATGAAACTGGGTGTCTGGGTAAGGAGGTTTCATGTGGTATTTTCACGTGCCTTAGTGAGGGTTGTGCGGTAACATGAAAAAGGCAGATGAGCAAGAGGCTGAGATAGGATCAAGTACACGTCAGATTATAGTAACACGGGTTAGCATGGCCCTGGGAAACAACTTTTTGAAGGAAATGATTACTTCAAGTGAATTAAGAAAGTAAGCAAAAAAAGCCCCCAGCTGGCTATTATTTACTCCTGCTCTGCTTCAAGAGACTCAAGCTAGGTCTGAATGAGCTGGCCCGCTTAAGATGCTAAATGGCCACTCCCTGCAGACCCATTAATACAGGTCCCAGAAGCTGTTAGCATCTAACTTCACTTCTACTAACCCTTCTCGCCCCACTGCTGGACTAACTGCTGTGCTGACTAAATTCAAGAGCTGGCTCACTGAAGGTTAGTTTTTCTGGTTAGCTTCAATATCGTGTTGCTCTTGGCTCTATTATCCATTTCTCGTGTTAACTAAAGCCACTTAGAGGATGGTGAATTCTGGCCGATTCCTCAGGTCAAAGTCGCAGTACACCTTTTCAATACTATTTCTGCTAGCATATGCCTTTGTTTCTCAGTTTCACAAACAATAAAAAAACAGGATTTAAGATGAGCAGGGGTAACTTACCTGTTCATTTTTGGTCAGTCTTGTTTTGTTATGGATGTCAGATGTAACCAGGTTGAATCCATGTTTCTCTGATAAAATTCTCAAAAGCAAAACCACAGTTCGACTCCCACACTTTCCAACTCTGTTGTAGACCACCTGGCTGGGAAAAGGAAGTACCTACATAAAGATTGAAAAAAATGGAATCAGTGTATTGGTATTTTTGTTTCTGTGTACCTCTGAATCACAGCATGTTTTGACCATAAAGCAACAGATACGTACATGAGAATTTCTCAGATCCTGTCCAGGTCAGAAGCATTCACTTGCACCAGCAAGGTAGAAACTCTTTGGAACAGAAAATCACATCTTGGAGGTGTCAAACTGAGATTTCCCCCTCACGATCCAGTTTAAAGTAACAGTGCAGATTGGTAGCTACTCCAGAAACGCTAAGCCTCTGCTGATGTCTTCTAATGAAGATGATGATGGGCTTAAGTTTGTTGCTTGTAACCTCATTGCAAATAGTCAGCTTTAGTTGACTGCCTCCCATATAAAGAATGAAGAGGAGAGAATTTGCACTACAGTTTGGCAACTCAAAGTGAAGTTGACATAATGCAAGAGGAATGCTCGAATTGCAAAACTTCAGCTTAAAAAGAAAAAACCCCCAACAACTACCAGTTGTACAGAGCTAAAATTAATCAACTGTTTTAATTTCAAACATAAACATGAATCTTCCAAAGCGACTCGCAGAACAAATCGTGCCACTGGCTAGGTATGTACTTGTGGAACAAACAACGCCAGGGGCCACAGGTGCCTGGAGGCCAGCTGGCACAGTCTGATCGCATCCGTTCAGGTAACGTTCCCTAACCTCAGAACAGAAGAGCCACATCCAGCCTGCCACTCCAGCCCATGCTTACTCTTGCACCATGCTCTCCTCCCTGGGAAACCAGAACAAGCGAACAGTAATTCACTGTCCTGAAGTATACTGGATGCAGCCTTTTTTTGTTCCTGGATGATGTCCATGGCTATTCTTTCAGTAAAAGGCATTCTGAAGTCACACTACTGCACTAGACAAGTATTTAGTGTATAGCATATAGCAGCAGCATCTGATAATACAAGCCAAGAGGCATCTGTTTTCAAGCCTTTTAAACTGCCTAACATAGTCAGGAGCTCAGAGTTTCATCCACAGTGGTACATATATGACACTCACTTATGGAAAGCTCATTTTTCTGTTTAGATGATGGTACAAAATGTTTCCCGACATGGGGCCTGCACCCAGGTGACGTGTTCAGTGCAAGGAAGGGCTCACGTGCCAAGTGGCTGTGTGTCTCAACCTACAGCTACTCCTGCTGTTGATGCAATCACATTCTCCCAGCAGAAGGATTTCTAACATCAAAGCAGTCAGATGAGGCATAAGGGCTTCTGGCACTTCTCGTGTATCTGAACAGCTAATAGATCAGGGAAGGGAAGCAAAATGATTCCTCAGGCAACCCTTCAGATTACTTTCAAAGAGGACTGCAAGCTAGAATAAAAAAAAAGCAAAAGGAAAAATCTGGATTCCCTTATATATAATGGGAACATACTGGCACTTTGCTAGAACATTACTATTGTCACTGGCTGCAATGTTTCGGATATCCTTCACTGCAACATAAACATGGAAGCCGTCATTCTCCAAATTACCTCGGGAAGGGGTAGGTATTTGGTGATCATGGCCTCCATTAAGCCTTCCAAGTTCCAGGACATAACACCTGCCGACTCAACAAGTAAACATGGGCCTCCCAAGGCTCATACAAAACCCACATAACACACTACGTCTTACTATGCTGTAATATTTCCATAGAGTTTTCTATGAGAAACCTAGCCCCCTTATTCCTAATCAATCTTTCCTTCAGAAGCCTTGCTTCCTATGAAATGCAAAATCCCAACCTCACTGATTAGGGAACTCCAAAGGTGCAGAATTTAACACGTCTGTGCTACAGCTGTAGCTAACCTTTTCAAAAAAAAGAGTGGTAATGATGTCGGAAAGGTTAGCATCTGAACACATTTTACTACGTTGATTATAACAGCAGGGACACCGTCATGAAAGTTTTTCTTGCGTACGAACATACACACGAGCCATATTCTGGATTGTCCTCTTTTTGATTCATTTCTTCACATAACAAAAACCAGCACCAGTATTTGCCACAGGCCAGCAGCACTATCCACGCACCACCACTGTAACTTGCAGAATGGGAGGTTCCCTCTGCTCAGACTTACACTTCTGGCATACTTTGCTGTGCAAGTATGTGAAAGTCTTCAAGAGAAACGCTACGTAGACGTTGACAAGTGCCAGTGAAGGAGCAAGAGCACATACAGCGTGTTTGTCTAGCATCCTGGAAATGTGATAAACGATGAGAGTTTGTAAGGCTATGGAGATGTTTAAAAATGCTTCCCAGTTATTAACTGCTTTGATTTTCACAGCAGAGTTGCACTTTGCAATATAGTGAGTAAATTTTTTTTTTTCATTGGTACTTGATTCAAGTGGAATTTTGCTGCGCCCAAGTTACATTCAAGTTCTAATTAAATCCCTGACTTGATTAGCCAGTATCTTTGGATGAATCTTATTCATATCACTCCCTAAAAATGAAATAAAATTAAAGCAGGCCTTTGTAAAGTCTCTATTCTAAGCGTAAACAACTTTATCAGCTAAAAAAAAAGACAGTTGCTACCAAGTTCGGCCAGTTCTCGCCTCTGTTTCTGAAACTCACCTTCTTACGTAGCACAATTCTACTCTGCACACAGATGATAACCATGGCAACCCCCCAAAAGAAACCACAAGCAAATACTCACTGCAGACAGAGAAAACTGAAATAAAGGACATTTATTTTCAGAGTTTAGCTTAAAGGAGGCCAATATATCAATGCCTTGATTCAGTAAATATCTGAATGCACTTCGATAAAATCGGACAAGATGCAAGATAAACGCTGCAGCTCAAAGCTCACTTCAGAAGAACGAAGTCATTAAAAGTAATCAAAGCTTCATTTGCAGCACTGCTGAACGTGGCTAGCTTTAGGGATGCACTGTGGAAGCTTTGCTCCTGTTTTGTCTGTTCACATCACCATTTCACTTACACACCTAAATGCACCAGAGGGTGTGCCCAGGACACAAAGCCATGCAGGCTTCTGGTACATAAGGACATATTTGTTTGATGTGATCAATTGCCTTAGGATGTCACAAATCTGCTCTCTGGATCTCACGCAGTGACTAAGTAATTTCTTAGAAAAAGAAATGCTTCTTCCAGAAACCTGAATTTGTATCAGGCAGATCTAGAAATGCAAGAAATTGAAAACTTTTTCAGAGAGGAACTTTTCTTATTCCCCTCAAAATACACATAACAGCAAGACTCAGACCATGTAAGAGATGGTGGCAGAGTAGGCACGTAAAAAGAAGTCTCCTATTATATTAGCAGAAACGAGATGGAAAACAGCAGTTTGAGGCTTACAAAACACTAACTGGATTACATTTCATTTGACAATAAGAATATGTATCATGTAGACTGACTAACTGCTGAGGTGATGCTCTGGCAACATGATATTCATGTAACGATACACACAAGTTCAAAATAATTACAGAGTGACTTTACTGAGCACTGCATCAAAGCCCAGAGGTAATATAAACAATTCAAACATGTAATTCACTGTGGAGTTATATGAATTAGTACTTACAGCTATAAAAAAGTAAAACCCACAGTGTAATTACAACAGCTGTCTCCAAGGGTTTGGAAAGTTATATAACAATTAACTTGTCGGTTCAAACTGAGTTTTTTTGCTTTTGTTCCATAGTTAAAGAAGATGTCAAGAACCATTGCAAATGAAATGGAGAAGAAAAATCAAGTTTAACCCAAAACAAATTTGCGTTACGGATGATGACTGTCAAGCAGCTGTGCAGGGTAGGTCTGGCAGTCTCAGGAGGGGAGCCATTGCTCAGCCTAAGCTTCCATCTGCAGTGGTGGCTTTGTCTCCAGGTAAACCTTTGCACCATTTAAAAACAAAACAAAAAAAATCAGGCTGGATAATTACTTGCAGTGTCAACAATTTGGGGATCCGCCTGAAGGCCTAAATCATTCCACTTTTCCTGAGCCAAATTCAGTATCATTCTGCCCATTTGCCAAAATTTTTCAGCCCAGGTACAATTTGCCCAGACAAATAACTCACGTCAGAGATACATGTTCCCAGAAAGCAATCCGTTATCTCATGAGCGGGGCCTGAAGTAGCTGCCAGAACTTGCTTGTCCTTTCTGAGCAGACGCTAAGTTGTGGTCAGATAGTGCTCCATGTTTATCAGGTGAATGAGACCAACCAACACAGAGAGAACTGGTAAGATCATGAAAGCAAGGAAACATTTGCTGACATCACACATCTCTATACAGCATCGCATCTTCCCAGTGCAACCTCTCCATTTTTTTTCCCTGTTCAACTGAGACAGAGTTATAAGAATTTAAAAAATGGCTTACTGGGTCAAAGCAATGGCCCATTTGGGTCACGAGTGCTGGAAGATGTTCGTTAGGCACTGCAAACCCAAGTGCTGACAGCAGCCCATTTCTCTCCAGGATCTCTCCTCTTCCTCCAGTGCCCCCAAAGATTACATATGGGATGTCAGAAGGCATATCCTTGCCTGCTGCCTGAAGAATTTCTTACACAACCTGCTATGCCAACAAATTTCAGAATCTCCTTACCCACCATGCATTTCATTTTTAGCTCATCTTCTACCATTTCCAGAGAATACCTGTTGTCACATTGTGGGTTGCATGAAGACAGATCAGATAATTCAGTCCCCAGCTTTGACATCTTCTGAGATCCACCAGATGCCCCTTTTTAAATTAATGTTTGTCACAAGCTTGCCATGGCCTATTTAAAGATAAACTTTAAGGCCACTAAGATACAACATATTCCAAACTTCACTTCAGAAACCGCTGCACAAAATCTCTTTCCAAACAAATACCAACTTATTCTTACTTGCTTTTAAAGCAATTACCACAAAGAATTGCTAACATAGAGGTATGTCAGGAGAAAACAAGACTGAAAGAGGAAAAAGAGAGAAAACAAAATAAGTGACTAGTTAGTGTCCTTCTCCTCCAGCTAAACCACACACTCCAGTTATGTCAAGATCCACACGTAGAGTGTAGTGACACTGGACAGAGACAAGCTTTTGGAATTAACCAACTCTAAAGCAGACCAGACAGCATGATCTTCTCTATGGGTCGCTGAAAATACACTAGAAACCAGAAGAAAGATAATGGTGAAGTTTGTGTGTTTTCAGAGTTTGAAATCCATATAGCTGCAGTGGAGCACTGAAAAAGAAATGGAAGATTCTTCTGCTGCATTTTCATTAAGCATCTAATTTAATTTAAAAAGGATGACTTCCCCCCGCCCTGTCCCAAACAATGCATTGCATCTGTTTGGCAGCTGACATATTTGGAAGAGTAAGTTAAAATGTGTTCTCTAATGATTCAACATCCCTAACTACCAAAATAAATTGAAAACATAAGCATGGAGCACAAGCAGCAAAAGGAGACTGGTTGTAGACACAGTCCTCATTCTTCTTAAGACTAAAGAAAAGCATTACTGTGAAGTGTCTGCCAAAGCTAATGGTTTCTGATGTGTCCCACAAACCAGATCTGTAGAGCCAATATCAAAACTTCCAATAATTTTTCTGTGAAGCAGTACTGCATCCTTAGAAACCTAAAAAGAGCTCAGTCCAAAGCACAGTAAAGTCTGCCTGTTAAGTCTCAGATCAGGTCCTATTACAAGATACTACAGCTATACATACAGTAAATTGAAACTATGATAAAATCAATAGCAACCTGGGAAGAATCCAAAGACAAGGTCACAGATCGAGTTTCCAAAGTTTTGGCTGCATCCTGTCAACACATTTCGTTCCACTCTTTTTACACCTTACACCTGATTTACCTTCCTACAACAGCAGCTTGCTGTTACAACAGAGCAAAGCCTCTACTTCTGCAATCTGATGCACAAGATTCCCCGCCAAAGAGAGTGCAGAGCCAGGTTTATTTCACGTATGTGAAGTTACAGCAACGCTCAAATCCAGCACGTGCATACAAAGAGTCAAACAGGTGGGTAAAGAGCAGACAGCTCCAGGTGGCCACTGACCTACGGCAGCCTCTGGAGGTGTGAGGAGGACTCCTGACTCTAGTAATTCAGCAACACCCATGGTACCCAAGCGACAGCAGCTCCAGCTCCTCTCAGGGATGGAGCAGGTGAGAGGGAATCACCCTACCAAACAGATAATTGTTTGGGGAGGGGGTACAATTAACACCTGCCAGATTAACCAAATCTTTTCTGTTTGCGCTTTCTTAATAGCATGCTTTGCAACCTCCTCTTCATTCTTCTTACTTTCCTCTGCAGTTTGCAACTTGTTCACCTCCTCTGGGACCAAAATTATATGCAGCGCTGTATCTTGTCACCCTAGTGCCAAAGAGAACTGAACAGATACCCTTCATATCCTGCAGACATCCCTTTTTAATACGTCTTGTGATGGCATTTTGAAGAATGAAAGTTTACAGGACTGTCATTAGTGCATAGAGAAGGGTGCAGAACATAAAGCCATCTCTCTTTTTTTCTTCTTTATCCTACACAAGTGTACACAGATTACAACAGAAAAAGAACAGGAAGACCCTAATTAGTTTTCTTGTGAAAAGCAGTATTTTCATCTCTTACTTCTAAAGTTCATCACATTGTGGAACTCGTCTTACTGGTATGCACCTATCTCATAACAAGATAGAGGAGATCAGTGATGTAAGGACATGGTCCTCTGACACTGGTAGTCGTTGAGGGCACTAGCATGAATTCAGGTAGGTTAAGAATTTTGGTGTCACTTTAATTGCTCAGTTTTCCACTGGAAGGTTTTCCATGCAATATCAAAAAACCCTTAATCTGCAGAATTTGTGCAAGCCAGATGTTAACTCCAGAGGAGCTTCACAGTATACGTACGTATATCTTGGAACTGTAAAGTTTAAAACTGCTTTTTCTCCTCCTGAGCTCAGGGTTTTGTACACTCTGTGATGTGCTCTGAGCACACTGGCACAGTTATTCTCTGTTTAAGCAGTAAATCCTACCATATCCAACCCACATGTTTATATTGGATACTTACAAAATGAGAGATATTAAGTAGCTAAGCCTGGTTTTAAAACATTTTATAATATGTCACAGTACTGGTGTCCCTTAAGTAACCTAACTACCTGAGAGTAGCTTCTATTCTTCCAATACGATATTCACGAATTCACCCCGAGAGCCAATAATATTGGATCTGAATGTGGTGAGTAGTAGACTAAATTATTTATTCCTCTGTATGCACTTCTCTTTTTTTGCATTAAGGTTTAACCCTTTTGTACCTATTGTGGTTGACTATCTATTAGGCTGCAGCTAGTGCAACAACTCCTGATTTCACCACTGCCAAGGATCTGTCATATTGTGTTCCAGTTTGCCCTCCCAGCCTTTACTTTAGGCCCCCTTCAGTAGTTTCACTTTTTATTTTAATGTCTCCAGCATGCTTGTCTTTTCCAGTGCACTTGCACAGGCACTTTATAAGTCAATTGCAGTATGAAATAAAGGTTGTTTATAGCCGTAACTGGATTTTAATTTGTAAAACAGGCCAGTTCTGCTGGACAGTAACCCACATGCTAGTTACCGATGAGCTGGCTCCAAGGTGCTCTCACTCTGCACGCTCAGAGGAACTCGAAGGGACTGAATTTCAATCACAGCTTCTGCAGGTAACAGATTCAGATCTAGTTCATG